CAATAGAATGTCTACAGAATTTTTTAGCGAATTCGTTAGGGTTTTCATGAATTCGTTCATACGTGTGAAAATGAGCGGACAATTTCAGAGTATCAGGACAATGCTCGAGACACCGGAAAAATGATTTTTTTACGTTTTCCGTCGAAATAGCCACAAGGATGTTCATATATTATAGAAGTGGCGCCATCCGACGGATGAGACACCCTAGGAATAAGAAAGAACATCGATCACTCTGGAGTGATCGATGCTACCCACTAGGGTAACGACTAGTGATCTTTTTCTTCATCAGAGGGTGTCACCTGACTGGTCACCAGTGGAAAGGTGAAAAGTTTAAATGACAATGATGCCGAGGTCATCAAAGGTATTTAAAGAGCGCACCGATATGCAAATATCGGTCAAGTGTCACTGGGGGGAACCACCTGTGGCAATCTATCTAAATGAGATCAGCCCTTATCCCCCCACTCAGAACTTCCGGCAATCCTGTGAGATAACCACGAGGAGCATTCCTTTTCGTTTCAACCGTTAACCCGTGCGGACGAAAATTTTCGTGCTCCCTCGTGGAAAAGTCTGGTGTCGTGTTGCCCAAAACAAAATGTCGAAGGACGCAACGATACTGCCGAGATCGTCGAAACAGGTATGTTTGTCTCGGAAGAGACATCCATTATCCGTGACAAGGTCTCACCTGTAACGGGAGAAGCGGGAATCGAGTCGGAGTCACTCCAGAGAGACGACGACTAGATTATACCCAAATTGTTGGAGTTACACATTCCAGATCGGAGCTTATCGGATCTGGAGTTCGACTCATTGCACGCGATGCTGCAAGGCAGAGAAGATGAGCCGATGGATGTGTCAATGACGGAGGACGTGACCACCATCCCGCTCATCTTCACACCACCGGAACGAGTCACTCCATCGGAGAGGAATGAATCTCCCCTGGCAAACGACCCTGAAGAAAAAAAGGGAAAAGGAACCAAAGGGGAATAAAACCCCCCACACAAGCACTGAAAAGTCCTTGGGAGAAGAGGTCCAACTATGCCGTTAGCTACTGCAGCATGGGAGCGAAGGACCACCCAGCTCGTCGCAGTCCCCAATCCCGAAGAGGAAAACACCTGTAGACAGTGAGAGTGTCCTCAGGAAGTCAGAACTCGCTGGAGAGCCTCAGCTCGAGGACGAACCAGCCTGAAAGAGGAGCCGCACCTGGATTGCGCCAGCCCGACTATGCTGGAACTGTCGCAAGCCAGGGCATACTGGAAAGGACTGGCTGGAACCACCCACCACCTATTCCGCAGGAGGGCGGAAGGCCTGGAAAAGAAAGGAAAGACTGCCTGATCTGCTAAAAACCGAAGAAGGCAAGAAGCCCCTGCATCCCAGAGTTTGGGAGGAATGTCCTTAGGGACATCGTGAAAGCAATGAACCAGGAAAAAAAATTTCGGCAGAGGGAAAGGGTGGAGGAGAGGCCACCCCCAGAGCCAAAAGACGAGACGCCCAGGACCTGGAAGACTTCCAGGAGGTCGGAGGAGGCGAGGACGAGAAGAATGAAGCTGAGGAAGCTGCGCCGAAAGGTATAGCGACTCACCCTAAATCCAGTATTCAGCCTTGTCAATACTCAAAATAATTTTAAAAATGTGGAAAATTTTGAGTAGAAATTTTCATTTTTAATTTCAAATTCAAGTTGTGAAAATATTATTATTTATACATTTCAGCTGCAGAAACTATAATTATACAGAGGAAGCAATAAATATTAATGTTTACATATTCTAATTTTGTTATTTTTTTGCTAAAAATGAACTATTTGTTGGTGTTTTTGTTTAATTACATAGTTAATTACTTCTCTAATTTTTTCCCACTTTATTATCTTTAATGTTAAAGCCAATTGTTATTCTTGACTGGGGGGACTTCGCCCCCCCAACCCCCTACCGGGGCTCTGCCCCTGGACCTTGCAAGGCGCGCTGCCCCTGGACCCCGCTTTTTTATGCCTTCAAATCTACATGCTTATTAGCACAAAAAAAAAGAGATGTGAGGGGGGAACTTGGCTAGTTTCTGGCTTTATCTTCACACTGTTTTGGCATTACCCAGAATGCACGACGTGGAGGTAAAGTCTGTTTGTTTGAACAAGCCCTCCAAATGAGGTAAATATAGAAAAATGAACAAGCTTTGGATGCAATTGAGAATGAGAGGATGTGTTAGACAGTTTAACACTTTTAATTCACTTGAAAATCACAAATAAACTCTAATTTGCTTCGCTGCCTGATTAACACGCTTTGAAAAACAAAGGAGAATGAGGAAAAACAATGGCGGCAAGATTTCATTCGAATTTATATAATTCGTGAAAAATCCGCTAGATGGTGTAAAGGTTAAAAAAAAGGCTAGAAATTTTCATATAATATGATATTATAGATTTAGATTCATTCAGTAATATATAAAATATAAACCATATTTTTCAAAAAATAAAAGGGGTCTATTTTGCCTCTTTTTCCCTCTATATCTCGAAATACACTGTAGAGGGAATTTTTTAATTATTTTTCTCGAACTCGCGAGACAAAATAGTTCGGAAAACAAGCGTTAAATCGCGGCGCCAAAGTAATCGGAATTGTGCCGATTGGAGAAATGGAAGCGTTGTTCTGCAGGTTAATGTCAGGATCAGATACAGTACTTTCTAGAATTGCAACATGATGGACTGATCATTCCAACGAGGTGTAGGAAACAGTAATTAATGTATTTCAAAAGACATCGTTGATGGTCCAATGTATAAAAATGCATCCACAAATTCCATGATTTCCATTTCATTTCAGCCATACCGCGATTATGAATAGAATGTTGAAGAGGTTTGTAAGGATCCTACTCCATTGAAACTCGTGTTGTCTCAGATATATTTATTAGAAAAAGAAATATAATACAAAACGTCAATTTCCACCAGAAATTTGCGATTCTCTTGGTCGATGTTTGGTGAGGAACAGCTATCAGTTTCAGAACGAGTGGAGATAAGACCTTGTCTCCATACCGGACTTCAATAACCCGAAGTTACCGTATGCCTAATTGATGCCGATAGAAGTACATTTAGCGAGGATTTCCGAAGTCATTAAGATACTCTAATTCATGCTGTGAAGGGGGACGAAAAAAATTAGGACGAAAGTAGATAGTTCCTGGAGGATGTCTCTGGATATAATATAATTGGTGATTTCCTAGCAGATGAGATGCATTTAGCAACATTCCTGGGGTCTACTTGAATTTTTTTTGGAAATATGACCTGATGAAAATTAATGATGATTAATGATTTATGATGTCCAAAAATCAGTGCCATTAATTTTCATTATTAGTTCGCAACTGGTCCGCATTACATGCAATAAATCGCCCATCTTCCTTACTCAACATTAAATTCAAAAGTGTAAGCTCATCATTAAATACCTTCGTCATTGTAAGAGGGTGTTTCGCATAGTGGGCCATACACCTCACATACACAATTGCATGCTGTCAAAATTGTTTAACCAGCACATCCGTTCCTCCCAAAACTTAGAAGTAGGGAAAATTGCCCCATATCACTTTACCAATGGAAGACCGTCACAGAAATAATTGTATCGCGAACAACTACCGAAAATTATTTTTTCAAGTTATTCCTGAACCACCTACAGTGTTGATAATACCTTGATGGAGTAATATGGCAAAATGGATCTACACATTCGATCCTTCCCATACAATTTTTCGAAGAAGGGAAAATCTTCCTAACGTTGAAAGTGTAATTCTCTTTTGCATACAAGAGGTAGTTAGCTTCATCAAAGTGAGGACACTCGCATACTTAGGCACTTATTCAAGCGCGATTAGATTTCCAAATCGAAATTATGAATGATCTCGAGCAGGTGAACGTGTCTTAAGGCTGTTGTCGCGAGAGAGTCAGGCTTAAAATTTACTACGCTGCGGGTTGATCGTCCGCTAAGCGGAGAATACGAGTTAGAATATGAACTTTTGCGGGAGTACAGTTCCACTCGACTCACGCACACAAGAATCTTCCATGCATGGATACATGTACACACAGCTAACGCTAAATGCCGATCGTGGCAACCGCGCGCAGCGTGTCTCTGTTTTCATGTCTCTCTCTTTCTCACTCAATGTATTTATTTTATTTATGAATCGTCCCTTTGATTCGTCATTGACTATTCCAAATAGATTCGCGCCACTCGAGTAAAAAGCGTTGTTGTCGCGTCGCGCGCAACAAACCCATGCGCTCCGCCCACTGGGAGAAATAATGCTAGTTTGAAAATTTATTGCTCCACTACGAAACTGACGATCACTTTCTTTTTTTTTCAGTATATTGCTGGTCACTATTTCTACCTTCTGTGTTAATTTCATAAAAAAATGTGGAGTGGTTTTTTTTGTTTTAAATAAAAACGGTGAAATGCATTTGAACCCATGTTAATTCAAAAAATCATGTCTCAGCTCAGAAACTGACGATTATTTTTTTGTTGTGCTCCTTTTGGAGGGAATTTTAAGAGCTCTCTACAGCAAAAATTTTAAAAAAATCTGTCGAAAAACGGGTTTACACGACAACAACCTTAATAAACGAGTAATTATGGTTAGCGCTGAACTCTGTTCCATTAGCACTATTAACGAAAGACATTAAGAAACCCGAAGGACATTTATAACTTATTTAAGATATGCTTATCTTAATTCAAGTCCAACGGAACACAATAAGAAAAATGCAAAAAAATTATGACCCGATAGAAAAGTTCGATTTTTTTATATATCCGGATGGTCTCACATTTAATATATTCTTATAACAAATGAAACAATATCCATCAATTGAATTCCCATCCTTACGGTGTGATGGAATTCATTGGAACAATGCGTAGGAATAAAAATAAGAGATAACAAATTTTATCGAATTTATATCATGTAATAATAATGATATTTTCCTCGCATAAATGTAAAACAACTCCTTCAGAGAGAAAACCGAAATATCTCTCAGTGAGATCAAAAATTATATCTGTATTTTTCTCTAATTCCAGGGGCTAATTCAGCTAGTGCACCCATTTCGAGACCTCCACCTGTATGCACCTGTATCCATCCTTATCCGTGGAAAAAGGGATGGCCCATTGCAGTATACATGATCCTGCTCAGTTATTTCTGCAGATAGCTCACGTGTTAATTCAAAAGTGATCAACATCGTCCATGTAAAACCTAGTAGTCTAGGGCTTCCAGTTACAAATATATGAGGGGAATGATATGTATGGATTAGATAGAGAATGATTTTCATTAAATAATTAAGTAAAAGTGATCATATACACGACAAAAATTCTCATTGAAAGTTTCAGTGAGAACGCGACAGCGCAAAACAAACATTACCATAGGAACCAAAGTGATAAAGCAGTTTACTTTGAAGCATGTTGTCTTTTGATGTAAATTGTTAACAAAATATTAATAAAATCAACAAACATGATGGTAACTTATTATTACCTACTGTAAAGTAGACATTCAACAATAAAAAGAGCATATTCTGTTCATTAAATCGATGTTCCAGCCCGCGAGACAGATGTGGGCATCTAAGAACTGATAGTCGTATACACATTACGATCGTAATACAAAAGAACGCTGCATATCTGATGTCGGAGAAGACCTTTCGTTCTATGGGAATGCATATTTATTTGATCCAGAAAATGAATTAGCTGCAATTGTGATTTGGATCGAAAAAAAAATCCAGATGATGCCAAGTGTTGTTTGACCTGTCACGATTGTTCCCGTTGGTAATGCATACATCTTGTGTTACGGCATCTTTTGACGAAGGTGAAGGAATAAATGTCGCGTTTTATCTTATTGTTACCTATTTTAAGCCTGCCATTCGCAAATAGCTTAAGATAGGTATAAGTACCTGAGAGGGTGGAAATAAACGACAATTTTTTCATGTGTAATTATCCATTTCACTGTTCTTGGTTCATAATGATCCTTAAATCATGGGAATCAATAGTAAAATTCGAAATTTACGATTGATAATAATATTAATGATCTCCACCTTTAATCTTATCTTCAACTTTTTCTTTTTGAACTTGGTTTTTTCCTTCTTATTAGTGAATGAATTCTATTTTAATTATTAATGTGAAGTCGCCCGTTATGAATGCAATATTTTTGATAAAGGGAAAAATGCTATAAAATAATTGAGAATTAACGGCTGCAACGGAGAGAAAATCGGTTCTACCGATAAAACGTTTAAAGATTTTTATACTCCTTGAGATATGAGAGAATATAACGATAATTGGCAATGGTCCTTGTGTTTGAAATTAAATAAGTGTGATGGATTATTCGGGTTTATAATGAGAAGCATGACCAACTCAAGAACAATGGTTGTTAAGATTTCTTTTTCTTTTTAGATCCTGAGCTTATACATGGTCATCGAAAAATAATTGAAACCATTATTGTTTTTCCATTGGAATTTTGAACTAATCGTAAAATGTGGGTAATTTTTCCTGAGAATATTATTTTTCAATTGAAATTCTTCTTGTTGAGCTCGACCATGTTGTAATCCAATACAAAAATTATGATTGTAGTTCTTCATTATATTTATAAAAAAAAAAGATTCGAGTGAATAGAGTACGGAACGATGAGTGGTAAGTCCTCGATGATGTTGGGACTGATCTTCGGTGATTAATTTTCGATAGGAAATGGTTTCCTTTTTCTTCCTCCTTTTATGTTGGAATAAGTTGTTCGAAATTATCGTCTCTAATCCACTTTTATCGGAGTTTTGTTATGAAAACAACTCCGAATTAGTTACAAGGAATAATGGATTCAAATGAATCAAGCATCAGATACAAATTGCAGACCAATGAGAAAAATTATTCCCAAACGATTAGATTCAATTACCCCAAGCCTTTAATAAAAGTAAATTAATTCAGACTAACTCGCACTGGATTCAAATAATTCACAAATAATTACATTCAATGTCCTGAATAATGGAACTTCCAAATCGAACTCTTAAGTAATCATTTTGATCTGAATAATTCTCAAATGGTTGGAATATTCGAAAAAGATTCATTTTAATTTTTTGAACTAGTCAATTGAATGGATATATCCATAATACTTCACAACATGGTGAATCCCATGTCTAGAATGATTTAGTTAAAAATACGAATAAGAATACATTGAATTGATTAAAATATGTTGGCAATTTATTATTAAATTTACTAGTCAATAGCTACTTGGCAGGATCAATAACGATTACAACACCATTCAGTGTAAAATATTTGACAGTGGAACTCACATAAATATTTCACGATAATATAACAGTTTTCGAAATGATTGCGATGAACTATAATGTCAAGTGTATTACTCAAGAAGTGAAAAATGAATGCATACTGATATTTCAGAATGCCAGTTTATTTGAGGTTAGAATTAATTAGTCACACTAAAATCGAATCGTTTATACTTGGTCAATGCAAATTTAGCATGACTGAAATTCTCAGAAGAAAACAAACTAAACTATTGTTCAAGCTATAATACAGTTGGCTTTTTCAGGGGTTTCGGTTATCTTGTTGCGGACACCGCTGTTTACTACGGTTAAAATTTCTATTTAATAAATATAAAAAAACTGGTACAACACAAGGTTATAAATAATGCAAGGGACTCGGAAAAACCCTGCACAATGGTGAGGAGTGTTGGAAAACCCAGTCAAAACATCGATTATGT